TCCAATTGCTATAATTGGATGGTGCTGATTTCTCCCACCAGAGACCCGTAATGTGTTGTTGTTAACCTTTTCATGATAGTTAGCAGTTGTTGGTGATCATTGACTAGATCTGTGAAATTCGTTAGAAGTTTTATATTTCTCATATTCTACTATGATTTTGTCTTTTGATCACCCTGAAAGACAGTTTGATAGGACAAATGCCCACTTTTGTATGTATTTATCAGCTATCAAAATTATGGTTTTATTCCCTAGCAGTCCCTATTGGTGTCCAATTATTTTTGTAATAATATATCTATTAGATATATTTCAGGTCATTTTACAGTTATTATCTTTATTGATACTCACATTCTCCCATCTTTGGTTATTTGAATGTGTTCTTTTGACATAGTCCTGGTAGTTTTGATGGCTTTATTACTAACAGTATGACAACGTGTTCCAGGGTCATCTTGTGCTTTTCTTCTCCCAGACATGGAATCAGTCATTTTCCCAAGTTTCCTCGGCTACTTTTCGTGGGAAATGATATTGGGATATCACCATCTGGGCAGTAGCTGTGCTCATTGCTACCAGACTGGTCATTGTTCCTAGGCCTTTTGCATTGGATTCTGGCTACCTTCACCCCCCTCAGGCCCTCCCTGCTGTGATGAACAGTTTGGACCCATCCTCCTCTCCGCTTTTCACAGGTTTTTGGTTTCTGAGATGTGCTCCCTCTTGCTAGCCCTGGTCCCAGTGCCCTCATTGGTTGTCTTACCATAATTACTCTTGTTCCTCCACACTAGGAGAAATGTTTTCTCTCTTTGTTAACTTGGGCAGGGCCTTCCCTTCCAGGCCTCAGTTTCTCTACCTGGAAACAAAGAATTTGGAATTCCAGCTCTCTGAGACCCTATCCTTCCATCTAGTTGCTACTAAGGTAATCCCGGTTTCCTGAATGATAAAGCTATCACAGACTTGTTTGGAGCATGGAAAACCCTGTGAACTAAGGGGCTTAATAGCGACAATAGTGGTCCTTGTGGACAACTTCCCCTCAGACCCGCAGGGCAGAGGGCACTCAGGACAAAGAGTCCCTCCACTGGGAGGCCCTTGGCATCACCAGAGGGCTCTTGAAGAAAGCCTTCTCAGGCTTCAGCTTCCCAACTCCTCCTAACCCTGCCTCTTCCTTAGGGAGACCTCCAAACAACCCTTAGCCCTTATTTGGAGAGAGGCTGCTCTGTTGACATTTCACAACAGGAAAATGGAGCCTTTGGCTTCAAAATACTGACCCCACCTCAGACTCAGCAAAAAAAAAAAAAAAAAAAGTTCTGATCCCAGCAGAGATGTCCTATACTGGTAAACTCAAAGGTTATTGGAAAAGAGGTCAACTGATCAGGTTTTAAATCATCACTATCCTTGTGACCTTGGGCTGGGAACCTAGCTCTCCTGATCCTTTTCTAATCATTTTGGGAAGTAGACATGGCATCACTTATGAACAAACTTATAGTCAGAGGGCCACTACTGACCCTTGGTTATTTTATCCTTTTGTAACTGGGGATCCACTACTTCACACGTTGAAAGCAATTCCTGACGCCAAGAAATTTTATTCCTTTTAAAAATTGTGACCCTTTAGGGGCCGGCCCGGTGGCGCAGCGGTTAAGTTCGTATGTTCCGCTTCGGTGACCTGGAGTTTGCAGGTTAGGATCCTGGGTGCAGACATGGCACTGCTTGGCAAGCCATGCTGTGATAGGTGTCCCACATATAAAGTGGAGGAACATGGGCATGGATGTCAGCTCAGGGCCAGTATTCCTCAGCAAAAAGAGGAAGATTGGCAGCAGTTAGCTCAGGGCTAATCTTCCTCAAAAAAAAAAAAAAAAAATGTGACCCTTTAAATGAATGGTGAAAAGTAATTCATTTTTCACCTCTGTGAAAGTAAAGCGTGAATTCACAGATTAATGAATTTATTTTGTTCCCATCCACAGACTAAAATACATGGCTATCCTTAAACACAAGGGAATGAAAGCTACATAATAATACAGAGAAGCAATAATGACAAAATGTGAACTAGCAAAAGCTAAGAGTAATCTTTACTAATAATGAGAAAAAGTATGGGAAAAATAATAGGGAAATACCTTGGAAAAAGTGAAGAATATACATCAAAACACAATGAGAGTTAATGGTAGTAAGATTTTGTTCTATTTTTCTTGTTTCCTCTATTTCCCAGAGTTCCTGTCACGTATTATTTTTTATCTCGTGTTCTTCACATCCAGAATTTCTGTTTGGTTTCTTTTTAGAGCTCCAATCTCTTTAGTGAAGTATTCCTTCCGTTCACTAATTTTATTCCTGAGCTCATTGAAATATCTTCCTGAGTTTTCTTGTAACTCACTGAGTTTTTTTATGACAGTTATTTTGAATTCTCTGTCATTTAGATTGTAATCTTCTGTGACTTCAGGTTTGATTTTTGGAGAGCTGTCATTTCCTTTCTGTTCTGCAGTGTTACTGTAGTTCTTCATGGTGTTTGATGAATTGATCCTCTGCTGGTGCCTTTGTGGTAGTAATCACGTTTTCTTACTTGGGTACAGCTTTGGTTACTTTGGTTCTAGTCTCCTGAGTCTCCTGTTTCTCCACTAGCTCTCTGTGGGCTCAGATGCTGCTGTCCTGTGCAACACCTGCACTGCTGTTCCTGGGTTGTCTTGGGGTGCTGATTGCACCACTGCCAGGGGTGCTGGGTTCATGGGTGTTACTGTCACTGGCAGGGGGCTAGGGACCCAGGCATTTGTAAACAGCCCTCTCTGCTGGTGGAGCTAGTGTCTGGCTTGCTGCCACTTGGGGCTGGGTCACCAGTTCTCCTGTGGTTCCTGTTGCTTCTGGTCCCAGATTCCACCTGCCACTGCTGGGTGAGGAGGGACAGGGGCTGTTTTTTCTCTTCCCGCCCCATCTGCTCCTAGTTGTGCCTGTCAGGCCACTTTGCCATCAAGCAGGCAGCAGCTGCTTGGCAGGGTACCTTTGCCGGAGCTGAGCCACTGCCACATGGCAGGGAGCGTTTGCATGGGCGGGCCACCCCAGCGTGATGGGCGCTCTCGCAGGCCCGGTTACCTCTGCTCAGCAAACATTAGTGGGAGGGCTGGGCTGCCTGTCTCCATGCACAGTCACACTGGCTGCTGTGTGAGGATCTGTGACCTGGATTGCTGCCAGAGAGGGAGAGGGAGCCACTCCCCTATTTCCACTGCTTCCCCAGGATCCAGCCCACCCACCTTCAGATATATAGCTGTGTGGATCTCTCAGGCGTCCTGTTGTGTTGTGTAGGGAATCTTCTGTTGGTCATTGGTTGTCCGTTTAGTTGTAACTTAGAGGGGAAAGACAAAGGGAACAACTCAATCCACCATGATGCTGACGTTAGTCCCCCTCAGAGTTTCTGTCATGTACATTTATAATTAGTGTAATAAGAAATAGATACATAAATAGAAAGAAAAATGTTTTTCAGACTCTGGGTCACAGATTTTCCTTTAATTATGGTCAGTGTTAAAACAGGATAGTTCCTTCCACTCCCCTATCCCATAGGATCTGAAAGCCACACTCCATGTCCACACTCTTGTATTGGAACTGCTGGCTTTGCTCAGAGCACCCTCCTTGCATGCTCCACCTCAGCCAGCACACCAGCAGGACAGAAGGGAAGGCATGGATAAGGACACTGGAATGATGGCTCCAGGATGATTATTTGTCTCCTCAGAGCTCTTTCAGGACTCTGGAATCCTAGATTCCAAGCACAGGGAAAAGACACTGCATCTTCAACCCTGATATTCTGTTTCTTGTTCTAAATTTGCCTTGGCCTGGTGTAGGTGACTGGCTTCTAAAGACATATTTGTCCTTGAGTGCCCGCCCGGTGGCACAGCGGTTAAGTGCGCGCGTTCCCCTTCCTGGCGGCCCAGGGTTCGCCGGTTCGGATCCCAGGTGCAGACATGGCACTGCTTGGCATGCCATGCTGTGGTAGGCGTCCCACATATAAAGTAGAGGAAGATGGGCATGGATGTTAGCTCAGGGCCAGGCTTCCTCAGCAAAAAAGAGGAGGACTGGCAGTAGTCAGCTCTGGGCTAATCTTCCTCAAAAAAAAAAAAAAAAAAAGAAAAGAAAAGAAATATTTTTCCTTGAGTCTGTTGCTTCCACTTCTTTGCCCAAACCTGCGGTTTCTTAATCACTCACTCTGGCTCACATAATACTGTGGTATCATTCGTTCTCTCCTCTTTCCCCCATTACACTGCAAACTCCTCAAATAAAGTGATCATTTATTGTGAGATTTTGCATCCCAACCACTATCCCAGTGTAACAGATAGGTGGTTATGGAGGGATGCAGGGTGAGCTGAAGGACTCACCTTCTGCCTGTCATAGGTCTCTCCTGTCACCTCTTTACGTGCCCCCTTTTTGAGTGGCTAAGCATAACCTCCAAGGCTGGAAGAGAGGCCCTGACATTCTGAGTGTCTTTTCTGACTTCAAGAGCATCACTTCCATGACCCTGAGTATTATGCTCATCACCGCTGCCACCCTGGGAGAATCCTGGAGGAGGTCCCCAACAATGCCCAGAAGGCTAGCAGTGCCTCTCCTGAGACCTTCAGTGTCTCCTCCACTACTTCCCATGCCAAGAGCAGTCCCAGAAGTGCTCCAATAGCCCCAGAGAAAAGTCAGGTACCTTGGTGGGCTTGGTCACTCGGGGCAGGAAGCTCATGATCCTTATGTATATAAAGATGGCCTAGCTGGTGCTATTCATGCTGATTCAGGATCAGTAGAAGCTGCTTGTCATCAAAGCTGAGATGCTCCAGTATACTATCAATGAGCAAGATCACCACTCCTTTCCTGAGATTTTCCTTCAAACCAGCGAGCACCTGCTGTACAGATTTGGGTACCAAGTCATGGCACATGAGCCCAAGGAGTGCTCATACATCCTTTTCAACTCCCTGAAGCCTGATGAAGTGATGCAGAGTTCACAAGAGACCAGGATCCAGACAAGGCCACTGTGGCACTTTGTACGATCATCCTAGGCTTAATCCCCACGCAAGGCAATTGCATCAAGGAGCGAGAGGTCTGGGGCTTTCTGTGCAAGTTGGAACTTTCTGCAAAGCCCAACATGGAGCGCTTTCTCTTCAGGAAACCCTGGAAAATCATCTCTAGAGATTTTGTGGAGAAGCAGTACCCAGAATATAGGCGAGTGCCCCAAGGCAACTCCAAAGAGCATGACTTCCTGTGGTGTCTCCAAGCCTTCCTAGAAACTGTCAAAATGAAAGTCCTGAAGTTTGTGAGCAAAATTCACAGGAAAGATCCCACAGCTTTCCCTCTCCAGTTTGATGAGACCAGACAGTTTGAGGAGGTGAGAGCCAGAGCCAATGCCTGTGCCGGTGCTAGTTGTTCCTTTTCTGGCCCCTAAAGGAAGTCTGAGGTGAGCCCTTCTCCTTACCTCTCCATTGATCACCCACTGCATCACCAGCTCTCTAGCTGGGGGAAGCATCATTACCAGTTTGGTTTCTTTCCTTCAAGAGTTTTGTCATCGTATTGTAATACACATATTCACACCTATAAAAACAAAATTTTTTTGGTTTATGTGTCTTGTTATATACGCTAGAGGGACCATGCTTCATACACCATGTGGCAGTTTGTTTCTTTAATTTGACCATAAGCGTCAGGGACTTTGCTATGCCAATACAGAGATAGCTATCTCAATTTTTAACTTTCTATTTTGAAATAAAGTTGTATTTCTAGAAAAGATTCAAAGATTCAAGATTCAAAGTCCAGAGAGTTCGCATATACCTTTCACTTAGCTTTCCGTGATTTTCACTCTTATATAACCATGACATGTTTACCAAAACTAAGAAATTAACATTGGTGTATTACTATTAACTAAGCTACAGACCTTATTTGGATTTCTTCAGTTTTTCTGCTAGTCCCATTTTTATTCTAAGATTCGGTCCAAGACATCAAGTTACGTTTAATTTTCATGTTTCCTTAGTCTGGGATGGTTTCTTAGTCTTTCCTTCTTTTTCATGTATCTCACATTTTTAACAACTGCATGGTATTCCATAGTTTCTATAAGCCATAATTCGTTAATCTCTTGCCCTACTGATGGATACTAAGGTTGGTTGTAATTATTTTTAATTTTGCCAATAGCCATGTAATCATCATCCATGGACCTGTCATTTTCTTCATAGTGCATGCATTGCTGTAGAACAGACAGTTGGATAAGGAAACTGGAGTAGCAGTGTATGTACATGTAACTTCCAATGATGCTGCCACACAGCTGTCAGTAGTGGTTGCACCAATTCACACTCCCACACACAGGTTGTGAAATTTTCCATTTACTCTACCCTCAACAACATTTGTTGTTATTACTCTTTATACTTTGGCTGATTTGATGTGTGATTAATATTACTTCTTTTATTTTGATTTTGTCAAGCTTCCTTGCTGAGGTTGAGCATGTTTTCATTTCTTCACTGGCTAGTTACATATATATATGTATATATATATATATATATATATATGTATGTATGTATGTATTTTTTTCTTTTTGAGGAAGATTAGTCCTGAGCTAACTACTGCCAATTCTCCTCTTTTTGTTGAGGAAGACCGACCCTGAGCTAACATCCATGCTCATCTTCCTCTACTTTATACGTGGGATGTATACCACAGAATGGCTTTTGCCAAGCAGTGCCATGTCCAAACTCGGGATCCGAACTGGTGAACCCTGGGCCACTGAGAAGCAGAACATGTGAACTAAACCGCTGCACCACTGGGCCAGCCCCCCAGTTATATTTTTATAAATCCCCCATTCATGACCTTTGCTGATTTATCCTTTTTAAAATTTGGTATTATAAATTAGAGCACACATACAGAATAGATTCGCAAACAAGAATATTTAGCTCAAAGTATTTTCCACAAATTACATACTAGCTTAACCACCATCTGTGCTTAAGCCTGCCACTCTAAGCACGCCAGAAGCTCTGCCTCAAGCCTTATCTGCATCCCTACATCTATCTTACTATCAATGTTTACTACTTTTCTGACATTTTTGGTAATCACTTCCTTTCTCTTTTTTCGAATTTTACCCTCTAAGTGTGAATCCCTAATCACTATAATTTACTTTTTTATTATTATTATAATTTATTTTTTTATTTTTTAAATTTTTTATTCCTTTTTTATTGTGGTAACGGTGGTTTATGACATTATATTAATTTTAGGTGAACATCGTTATATATTTTGACTTCTGTGTAGATTACAACGTGTTCACCACCCAAAGACTAATTACAATCCATCACCATACACATGTGCCTAATCACCCCTTTTGCCCTCCTCCCTCCTCACTTCCCCTCTGGTAACCACTATTTCTCTGTTTCTATGCATTTGTTTGTTGTTGTTTTTATCTTCTACTTATGAGTGAGATCAAGTGGTATTTGACTTTCCCGCTATGACTTATTTCACTTAGCATAATGCTCTCAGGGTCCATCTATATTGTCACAAATGGCCAGATTTCATCATTTATTATGGCTGAGTATTATTCCATTGTGTATATACACCACATCTTCTTTATCCATTCGACCAGAGAAGGCCACCTAGGTTGCTTCCAAGTCTTGACTATTATGAATAATACTGCAATGAACATAGGAGTGCATGCATCTATATGCATTTGTGTTTTCATGATCTTTGGATAAATACCTAGCAGTGGGATAGCTGGATCATGGGGTAGATCTATTCTTAATTTTCTGAGGAATCTCCATACTGTTTTCCATAGTGGCTGCACCAATTTGCACTCCCACCAACAGTGTACGAGGGTTTCCTTCTCTCCACATCCTCACATCCTCTCCAACACTTGTTTCCTCTCTTCTTAATTATAGCCATTCTAACGGGAGTGAGGTAATATCTTACTGTAGTTTTGATTTATATTTCCCTGATAGTTAGTGATGTTGAGCATCTTTTCATGTGCCTGTTGGCCATCTGTATATCTACTTTGGAAAAATGTTCAGATCTTTTGCCCATTTTTAAATTGGAATGTTAGTATTTTTACTGTTGAGATGTGTGAGTTCTTTATATATTTTCTTTATTAATGCCTTATCAGATATATGGTTTGCAAATATCCCAGTTGTTAGGTTGTCTTTTCGTTTTGTTAGTGGCTTCCTTTGCTATGCAGAAGCTTTTTAGTTTGATGTAGTCCCATTTGTTTATTTTTCCTATTGTTTCCCTTGCCCAGTCAGACATAGTATTTGAAAATATGCTGCTAAGACTGATGTCGAAGAGCATACTGCCTATGTTTTCTTCTAGAAGTTTCATGGTTCCAGGTCTTACATTCAAGTCTTTAATCCATTTTGAGGCAATTTTTGTGTATGTTGTAAGATAGTGATCTAGTTTCATTCCTTTGCATGTGGCTGTCCAGTTTTCCTAACACCATTTATTGAAGAGACTTTCCTTTCTCCATTGTATGTTCTTGGCTCCCTTGTCGAAAATTGGCTGTTCATAGATGTGTGGGTTCATTTCTGGGCTCTCGATACCGTTCCACTGATCTGTGTGTCTGCTTCGGTGCCAGTAACATGCTGTTTGGGTTACTATAGCTTTGTAGTATAGTTTGAAATCAGGAGTGTGATACCTCCAGCTTTGTTCTTTTGTCCCAGAATTCCTTTGGCTACTCCAGGTCTTTTGTTGTTCCATATAAGTTTTAGGATTCTTTGTTCTATTTCTGTGAAAAATGTTGTTGGAATTTTGATAGGGATTGCATTGAATCTGTAGATTGCTTTAGGAAGTATGCATATTTTAACTATGCTAATTCTTCCAATCCAAGAGCACGGAACATCTTTCCATTTCTTTGCATCTTCTTCAATTTCTTTTGTAAATGTTGTATAGTTTTCAGTGTACAGACCTTTCACCTCTTTGGTTAAGTTTATTCCTAGGTATTTTATTCTTTTTGTTGCAATTGTAAATGGGATTGTATTCCTAATTCCTCTTCCTGCTATTTCATTGTTAGTGTATAGAAATGCAACTGATTTTTCTATGTTGATTTTGTATCCTGCAACTTGACTGTATTCATTTATTATTTCTAAAAGTTTTTTCATGGGTTCTTTAGGGATTCTATATATAAAATCAAGTCATCTGCAAATAAGGACAGTTTCACGTCTTCCTTTCCAATTTGGATCCCTTTTATTTCTTTTTCTTGCCAGATTGCTCTGGCTAAGACTTCCACTAACATGTTAAATAAGAGTGGTGAAAGTGGGCATCCTTGTCTGGTTCCTGTTCTTAGCTTTCAGATTTTCTCCCTTGAGAATGATATTAGCTGTGGGTTTGTCATATATGGCCTTTACTATGTTGAAGTACTTTCCTTCTATGCCCATTTATGTTTTTATCATAAATGGGTGCTATATCTTGTCAGATGACTTCTCTGCATCTATTTAGATGGTCATGTGATTTTTATCCTTCATTTTGTTAAGATGGTGTATCACGTTGATTGATTTGAGATGTTGAGCCATCCCTGAACCTCTGGAATAAATCCCACTTGATCATGGTGTACGATCTTTTTAATGTATTGTTGTGTTTGATTTTAGTATTTTGTTGAGGATTTTTGCATTGATGTTCAGCAGTGATATTGGCTTGTAATTTTCTTTTTTTTGTTGATGTCGTTGTCTGGTTTTGGTATCAGGATAATGTTGGCTTTGCAGAACGAGTTAGGAAGCTTCCCCTCCTCTTCAATTTTTTGGAAAGTTTGAGAAGGAAAGGTATTAAGTCTTCTTTGAATGTTTGGTGGACTTCACCAGGGAAGCCGTCTCAGCCTGGACTTTTATTTTTTGGGAGGTTTTTGATTACTGTTTCAATCTCCTTACTGGTGATTGGTCTATTCAAATTCTCTATTTCTTCTTGATTCAGCCTTGGAAGGTTGTATGATTCTGAGAACTTATCCATTTCTTCTAGATTATCCAATTTGTTGGCATATAGCCTTTCATAGTATTCTCCTACATTCTTTTGTATTTCTGAGTTGTCCATTGTAATTTCTGCGCTTTCATTTCTGATTTTATTGATTTGAGGCTTCTCTCTTTCTTCTTGTCGAGTCTAACTAAAGGCTTGTCTAATTTGTTTATGTTTTCAAAGAACCAGCTCTTAGTTTCATTGTTTTTTTTAGGCTCTATTTCATGTATTTCTGCTCTGATTTTTACTACTTCCTTCCTTCCACTGATTTTGGGCTTTGTTTGTTTTCCTTTTTCCAGTTCCTTTAGGTGCAGTGTTAGATTGTTTATTTGAGGTTTTTCTTGTTTATTGAGGTAGGCCTGTATTGCTATAAGCTTCCCTCTTAGAACTGATTTTGCTATATATCATAGGTTTTGGCATGTCGTATTTTCATTTTCATTTGTCTCCAGGTATTTTTTGATTTCTTCATTGACCCAATTGTTGTTCAGT